TGAGAGGTTAGGGGGTTATGATTAGTTGGGGTTGAGCCTAAGTTAAAGCAGTTGCCTAAAAGAAAGGTAATTCCCAGACCAATATCTGCCAATATCTATCATTATATGTATTTTATCAGCCACTCAATAATTCTTTGAACCTCTTTAAGTACATTTTTTGATAAGATTTCAACAGCCTTAGCGTTGAGTGGCAGCTAATTGAATTCCCCAAAAACTACTCTTTTAAAAAATAACAAAAAAAAAACCACACTCTCCATCGAACGAATGGTGTTATCAGGGCCATTGTGTTTTCTGGGAATTGGACAAGAAATCAGTTTTATAGACATATCATATACAATAATATGACGAATGCTCATAGTTCCAATTAAATTATCAAGTGTTTACACAGATTGGGGGCCCTTATCTGCCAGAAACGAACGGAAAACTAATTACCCGACAATTAAAGAGCAAACATTTCCCCAAACAAAAATTGCAGGCTCCATTAAACAGAAACAGAAACAGTTACTTTACCCCTTCGATATGCCCTGCAAAGGAGGTAGAAAAAAAAAATTGGCAGACGAGAGAAAGTTCGTTGCCGGCTTTTAGGCGGACAAAAAACTGCTGCTGCAAAAGCAACACATCAACTTTTTATTAGCTGCAAAATAAACACAAAGACTAAGAGCGAAAGGGAAAGGGAAAGACAAAGATGGAGATAGGGATAGAGCGAAAGAGGGGCAAGGAGTAGGGAGAGAGGGAACAAACAGCCGGAACACAACACAACACGAAATGCAAACAGTGTCGGTGGTCGTCTCGTGGCAAGAGTTGGTGTAACAAATATTTACAGCGCGGTGCCCCCTCCCCTCCTCTTTTGTTTGCCATTTTTCGGTTAAGACACTGCCAAGGACCTGGGCACTGGCAAGGACCAACTGAATGTCGGAGGCCCTGCGACTTAATAAATCTTATTAAAGTGCGCGCACAGCCTCTAAAATGTGCCACTCATCTAATACTCTACCACAAAGGGGGGTACTTAACCTCGTATAAGACGTTTGTGAATGACTTAAGGGAAGGCTCTTTTATTTATTAATTATATATTTCTTGATTGATTTTGTTCCACAAAAAATTAAAGCCACATATTTGGGGAATATGTGCGTGAAAGAATATTTCGATACGAGACAGGAATACCTCGAATGAGAGCGTCTCGAAAGCACCTACGTGGGGCGCACCTACTCTCAAAGAACTTCAAACACGTTTTTCCCGAAACCAAATTTGAATCTATCGATCCGATTCATACATATGGACATATTTTACTATACTAAATTGAGCTTAAAAAAATATAGTAATATAGTTTTTTTAAAACAAAAAAAAAAAAAAAATTTCTTCATCTAAATTTCCTTTAATTAATTCTAAATAATTCTGTTTCTTCTCTTAATTTCATAAAGTTGAATAAATTTAAGTCTGTTCACTACAAAAGGCTTCAGAATTGAACTTCGGGGACGATACATCGTGTGGAGAGGCCATTTTACAGCCGCCATTTTTGATTTTGGCGTACAAAAACTACCAAAGTATTCAGAAATAATTACAAAATTTCTCAATGTTATGTTTTCTTCATTATTACACAAAAAATTCTCCATTTTTTATATATGTTTTACCAATTTTGAAAGATACTTAATTATAAGCCAGAGGAGCGCTGCTGCATAATGCGTGAAATATATCAAAAATATTCTTTAAAAAAATAAACACTATAAAATGTATTCGAAAGAGGAACAATTGTTGAAATTTGGACTTTTATGGGAACAACTTTTTGGTTTAAAGAAATTAAAAAAAAAAACAATCTTATTAATTCTAATTTAAATTTAAAATAAAAATTTGAGATCCAAAAATGACTATTTTTTATTGTTTTTTTTTTATATTTTATTGTTATTGTTTATTGTTTATCCTATATGCATCAAATATATTTATTGGCAATTTCATTGCCAGCCAAACTCGAAAGAGCATCCAACATTCGTGGACCTAATTCAGCTTTCTTTTCACCTTTTTTTATAGCTGTTTATATATTTTTTTTTTTCTTCTCGCCCGCCATTTAAACAGCCTACCACCGAAAGCATGGCGTCTGTCTACCTTGTTCTTCCTTTACATAAATTTATTTCTTACTTTCTTCACGTGTGGGGCGGGGGGGTCGTGCCTTTGCGGCATGGCTGAACGCGGTCTGGACAGGCCCACATTTTGGATGGTTTCCTGCTGTCACGAAAGCGGTATACGAGGGTGTGGCATGGGGGACTGGGGGCTGGGGGCCTTAAATGTACATCAATTTGAGTTGATTGTTCAGGTTCGGACCTATCAATGGGGGAGGGGCGGGGGGCAGGCGGGCAGATTGCAAGAGATTATGCAAAGGCAGGGGAAAGGGGAATTAAAGAAAAATTTTTGAAAATAATCGAAATTCTTTGAAAAGTCACAAAAGTTTGGTATTTTATCGGAAATATTAGGAAAAAATCGGGCAACAATTAATAGAAATTATTACTATTAAATAACACCTCGAGAAAATCTGTAGATAATTTTCCAATGAGTTTTCTACCAATAATTTGTTATTTCATTTATTGCAATCATTTTTTATATTAAATGAAGCTCAAAAGTATATTACATAAATTCCAATGGAACTATTATATGTTTTCCTAGAAATAAACCTCCCAAAATCAGAATAAACCTGCTACAAAAAAATACATAAATTCCCCTCCATCAACATTTCCTCTCCATGCCGCAATATCATATGCTATCTGCTGCCTAAAATTCCCTGAAACTACAGAAAAAACCAAAGCATTTGTCTTTTGGCCACATTTGGTGTCTGCCACCTTCCGTGCCACATTGCCACCACATAAATTTGCGGTCTTAATTCAGTTTCAGTGTTGGTTTTTGCGCCCTCACTTGTATCCTCCTAATCGAAGCAAATTACGGGCAGAGATACTCCGTATAAGCCAAGTCCAATGGCCAAGACCGATGGTTGATTGGTTTTTTTCTGCAGTTGTTTTCTGTGCTCTGTTCTTTGGCTCGAATTGGTTTCTGTTTCTGTTTTGTTTGGCCTTCATTTTTATTAGCCATTTATCCGCATTATTTGGTTAACACACAATTGTTTTTTTTTCCCGAAAAACAGCAGGAAAAACAAGTTAATTGTCGGGCATTTAATTGAGTTTTCCTCACTGCAGACAGACGCGCGATTAGCGATTCAGAAATCGAATTCCAGAGAACCTTGTACCCATATCTTATCGATGGTTGGATGGTTGGATTTTTGGAACACAAATAGTCGTCCCGTCAAGTGCCGTTGCGTTGGTCATTTAGGAATTCCCCAAGCGTGGTTGGGTCACGTTTTAGGCATTGGTTATCTTTTACTTTCTTACTGTTTTCAGCACTTATTGTATTGGGATTTCTTTTTTGGTGTTGTCATAAGTAAATTTAGATTCGCGACGGGAGAATTGGGCGGAAATATTGGGGTGGAAGAACCTTAAAGACTGTTGGGGGCAGATTGTGGTCTCTAAAGTCTAAATATAATAGAGAATAAATATAAATAAATACATTTGGGGTTTAGAAAAGAGTTGTTTCTTGACCCTGTTCAAAGATAAGTAGTGGTAGTAATACTAGTAGTAATATTTAGTAGTAGTGGTAGTAGTAGTAGTAGTAATAGGAGTTTTATTAATAGTATTAGTAGTAGTAGTAGTAGTATTAGAGGTTTCTATAGTATTATTAGATGTATTTGTAGTAGTTTTAGTAGTAGTAATAGGAGTTATATTAATAGTATTAGTAGTAGTATTAATAGTAGTAGTAGTAGTATTAATAGTAGTAGTGGTAGTACTAGGAGTATGAGTAGTAGTAGTAGTAATAGTAGTAGTAGTAGTAGTATTAGTAGTAGTAAAAGTAGTATTAGTAGTAGTAGTAGCAGTAGAAGTAGTAGTACTAGGAGTATTAGCAGTACTTTTAGTAGTACGATCCCTCAGATACCAAAAAATTAGTAGATAGTACTTTCCATAGAGGTGCTTATAGTCATGGAATGAGAGACAAAGGCAAGGAGAGAGAATTTGTGGGAGAAAGAGGAACAAAATTAGACGTAGATAAAGGGATAGATTTATGACTGCTCGGGTAAGAGCGGAGATCTGTATTTACCCCTTTAACCCCTTAAAACACAAGTGGAGAAACACTTATCCAATCTAATACCAAAATAACACCTATGTATGCCACCCGCAGTAAAGATGTGTCCTTTTCATGGGTCCAGCGATAATAGTTACTCTATTATACTAGAGTACATAATTCTATCTAATACCTCTTTGGATTTTAAGAATAAAATTCAGTTCGATTTTACAAATCAAATCACAAATGTCTAGAATTTTATTTTAAGGATCCTGAGAGATGAGAGAGAATAAAGAGAAATATTATTATTATTCCTTGTATATTTCTTGAAAATATTATAAGAATTATTTCCAAAAATATATTAATAAATATGAAAACAGTTTCTAAAAAAATATGGAATCCTCATCTGCGAAAGCCAGGTGTTCAAAGAGCCAAACGATAGTTTTACTGAAACCCCTTTTGTGTATTATTCTTGATCCGATGCTGTGGTAACTCTTTCATGAATCCTGATCAAGAATATATATACTTAATAGCCTAACCTTAGTCTAAAGCTAATTAATGGCAAAAAAGCCCTTAAAAAACCTCAACCCTTGGAAAATGTGCTAAAAATAAATAGTAAGGCTCCCCCATCAATACCCCTCAGTGTTGGCCAACTAATTTTCCGTTTAGACAGTAGAAAATTCGGAGCCACTCACGTGAATCGTCGTCGTCCCTCAGCTGGCGCTTACCTCATCAAAGTCAATGGCGACAATCAGTGGGCGAATGAAAAAAGTCACCTATAAATAAATACACGCATTCGGCATTCGTCAACGATTGTTAGCTTTGTGCCCAGTTGTTTATCACAAAAACAAAAAAACAAGGTGAAAAAGTGCTATAAAAGCACTGCAGAATCAGCGATTCGACGGCATTTAGTTGTGGAACCCTCGTGGTGGAAGTGGAACTGGAAGTGGAACGAATATAAATAAAAACTATCTGATATATAAATTACAACAAGTGACAGTTTTGGAAAAGCAGGCCAGAAATTATGCCCAATATTGTGGCATTGAAGCTGAGCTGTGCCCGAAGTCCTGGGACTGGGACTGGGACTGGGGCTGGGGGCGATAACGGTAGTCTGGTGCTGGTGGCCTTGGATCAATTGGCGCTGCAGCAACAAATCAATGCAAATTTCATTTTCCATGCAATTTCCAACTACAAGAAGACCCCGTTCGAGCGTAAAACGCTGGACTTTATTGCCAAAAAGTGGCTGCACTTGCAGTTGCTGTGGCGAGAGTTCCGGCTGAGGGATAAGCAAATACGCCGCGTCGGTCACAAGGATTCGCACTGCCAGGAGCATGGCTACTTTCAGCAGGAGCTCTTCGAGCTGGTCCACGACAAATATATGGCGGCCAGGGGCTGTCTCAGTCGTGACAAAAGGAATCTGCTTGCCCGAGACCCCCCCGCCCCCCTAGTGTTTGCTCAGCCAACGAAATGAGGGGCGGGACGGGGATGGCGAAAATGTGGGACTGAGCCCCACAAAAAATAAACCAAAACCCAAGCAGAAAAATAAGCAGAGCGGAGCAGAGCAGAGCAGTGCTGGAGAGAGCGATATGTACGTGTGAAAATAAGTCTTTCCCCGTCCGAGTCCCCGTATCCGCCCCCGCCCCCGCCCCCCGTCCGACGACAATGGCGGGACAATGTCAACAGCTCCGTTTCGTTTCGTTTCGATTCGATTTTCTCTGCAATGATGATATACGTCAACAAGAACTCCATGCCGTTTCCATCAACAATTGGCCATCAATCTGCGACTGGCTATCCCCCCATGTGATTTATTGCATATGCGGCACGCAGCATGCGGCATGCGGCACAAACGCTTATCATAATTATTTTTGGATATACATATACTATATGCCCCCCACAAAAGGTGATTCCACAAGGCACTGAAGAGTCGCCTGTTCTCCACACAAAGGCCTTTTTATATCCCAATGGATCCATAAAATAATAAAATTGTTTAAGACTTTTCGCTCTTTTGTTCATTTTTGTGGTGGCTGGAGAACTGTTTTATATGAGCCATACAAATTAATGCCAAATAAAAAGGAATTTAAATTGAAATTTGTTTATTTGTGAAGATTTTTTAAGCCAATAATTTGGGTGTTTTTAAGATTTTTAAGTTCTTTCTCTTTTACAAAATTTGTGAGAATTAATCTTGTTGGTGAACTACTGATTTTTTATTTTTTCTAGGAAAAAGAAGCAAAATAAATATGTATATAGATATTTATAATTATAATTTTTAAAAATTAATTTTGTTAGATATTTAAAAAAAAAACACAAATAATTACATAATATTTATAATTTGTGAAAATTTATTTTGTTAAAGAGAAATAACGATTTTTATTTTTACTAAGAGAGAAAATAAACAAAATAAATATATACATATATATTATTTATAATTTTTGAGAATTATTTTTTCTAAAGAGAAATAGCTATTTTTTATTTGTTTAGTCGATTCAATAGCATTTCATTAGCTCTATTTTTGGTACAAAAGATGTGGTTCATCGAGTTTTGGTTGTCATAATGATGAGGTCGCAAACGTACGCGAAATAGAAGTCGACTTTGGATTGATCTAGTAAAAAAAAAAACAAAAATCTGTGAAATTAAACAGTATATTCCAAAGCATTAAATGTATTTTGAAAGAAGATTAATGCAGATTTCTATCGAGTATTTACACAATTAACTCTCATTGTTTTCTCATCTTCCTTATAGGAGAAAATAGTTAAAGAAATCGTGACTATAAAAATACCAAAAAATACTGAATATGTAAACATTTGCATAGTTTAATAGATTTTCAGATCAAAGTTAATGAATTATTTATGCCATTCATTAAATTTACATTCATTTATATTTTTATTAAATTTTAATTAATTTTGAAAGACAGTTTAATTTTTTCTATATTTTTTCTCCTATTTTTTCTATAACTAACCTGTATAACATTCCCTTTCAATTCTATTCCCAAATTAATGAACTTTAAATTTGTATTATTTTTTAGAAATTAATTTTAATAAATTAATTTTTAATTAATTAATTTTTTGCATTCCCTTAATTTTGTTCTCCTATTTTTTCTATAACAAAAAATCAACTTTTCCCTTCAATTCTGTTCGCCATTTTATCAACTTTTAATTTCCTTTAAAATTATTTACGAGTAGTTTTCCTATAGTACATTCCTAGAATTAATAAGTGTATAAATCACTTGACAATTAAACACATACAATACACTTATAAACACATATATCAAACGTCTAGCAACAGAAACACCCAAATAAAAAAAAAATCGCAAAAAATTTGGGGAAATACCCAAAGGCTGACCGCCACAAAAAAACAAAAGGGGGGAAGGTTAGGACAAAAGAGAAAGAGAGAGAGAGAGAGATAAAGAGCGATAGAGATAAAAGCAAAATCACGCTGACGGGCACTGCGACTGATTCATGGGGGCAGCAGGCGAATGGCAGGCAGAAAGTGCGCTTATCAGGGGAATTATTGTCCCGATAAGAGCGATAAGCCCCCACACACATGGCACAGGGGGAGACAGAGAGAGAGAGAGAGAGAGTGGTAAAGGGACATTAGCCTACTCAACAAAATCGTTAGACCCGACCCCCCGCGCCGAAAGTCAATGAACACACAGCAATCGTTAAGCATTACACTAGGCAACAAAATTTTATCATCCCCCAATGAGTGGGGGGGGTGGGGGCTGGGGGGCAGAAGGCAGAAGCGTGACAATGTTCATGTCGTCAAGTGTCGTTGCTGGGATCCATCGCCTGATAATTGTTACGATTACACGCCCCACGCCCCCATCATCATCATCATCATCGACGGCGTCGTCATCATGAAACGCTCTTTGAGTGCCGAATGAGTGAATGATAGAGGGCGGAATGGGGGTATGGGGGTGTGGGAGGGGGATCGAGCCCTCATTCGTTGGACTCATGATTTAATTACATTTTTCGAGTGTTTTTTGCTGTTGTCACAGAAGCAAAATCTATAGCCTGGCCCCATTGACATTTCATTCGTTCGGAAAATTATAAAAAAGCTGCGAAAGACAGAAAAAGTCAACAGATTATGGCCGGAAAAGGGATGTTCTGCGAAACAGGCAACAGAAGCACTAAAAACGTATCAACAGGCCACCAGAAATTGCGGTAATATTCCTTTGCCAAGGGCCGTATGGTGTTGAATGTTCTTCAACCGATGGGAGCTGCCGCATGACGCGCTATGCGATGTTTAATATTTTTATAAGTCATTTATGTTCTTCTGTTGTCGAAATTTCTACTAAAATATTCCCCATTTTCATTGATTTCATGCATAAATATTCAACCGATGGGCGCTCCTGCAAGACGCGCAAAACAATTTTTAATATTTCTATCATTCACTTATTCACTTATCACGCATGACGCGCGATACGATGCATAATATTTTATCAGTCACTGTTCTTGAAATTCCTACTAAAAAATTCGCCATTTTTATTGCCTTCCTCCATAAATATCCAACCGATGGGCGCTGCCGCATGTAGCGCGATATATTTCTCCCTTTCATCTACATATATTTCATTGCATCATTCAATTTGCATACTTCTGCAGTCGAAATTTTTATCTTTCATCCAATGAAACCGATACAAAAGTCTTTCCATCTTTTAACCCTTTTTCTACAGTCGGAATTCGTGCTTTTCGTTGATTTCCATCAAAAATATATGCCCAGAACACCCCCAAAAAACAGCATACATCGCATTCTGTCCAAACAATCCAAAATATGGCCACAGATAATACGGATACAATGCAGATTTCATGGATGTGCCCATTAAATGCCACGTTTTGAACACTATTTTCAAATGATTAAAATCAAATGAGCTGTCAATTATTATTATGATAATTATGGGAAATATTTGTATTTGTTTGCTCTGTGATGACATTCGTGTCGTTAATTTTTCTGCCTATTTTGCTATACTTACAAATTTGATTTTTGGTTTTTTAATCATTGCCCATTTTGCGGCGGGTGGCGGGTGGCGGGCGGCATTTAATTTTCCAATTTTCCAATGAAGAAAATATTAGCATTTTGCATATTCGTTTGAAAATTGAATTGAATTCAATAAAAGAGCTCGTAGCGCCCACAAAGTGAGGGGCAATTATGGCCAAGTTTTGATTTATACAAACGGCTGGCTTGTGGGTGGAATGGCTGGTTAGAATGCATTTAAATTGGCCTATCAAGTATATAATTAGCTATAAAATCAAATTTAAAAGCACATGCGGTGCCAAATTGAGAGAGTTCTTTGGACAACAAAAAGTAAACTCAATTAAAAGATTTAATGTGATATTTTCTACAACAATTAAAGGCTAATGAAAGATCAAAATCAAGGCAAAACAAAAAAATACCGAATTGGAATCATTGAACTGCAGTTCTCTCAAAAGTTGAACTTAGACGCAATTATGTGCCACACATGAAGGAGGGACCAGGACGAGGGGCACCATTCCCTGGCATCACATTAGACACGCTTCACGTACTTTTTGCACATTTCATTGGTCAATTGAGTGTGAAAACCTGCGAAAACAAAAACAGCAACGGCAACCCCGACCAACAGAAGGATAGAATAGAGAGGCAGCAACCAGAACAAGCCGCGGAAAATTACTAATGCATTTCTAAAGAGTTTTTCATCAACTAAAGTCCTGGGCCATAGTCGCGTAGCAGCTGCTAACTGGGATGTTGCCTCCTGCCTCCTGCCTTCTGCCTCGTGCTGCCTGTTGCCTGTTACCTGACTCCTCTGGCTACTGGCTGCCATTCTTTAAAGCAAATATCATTAGCATTATGATGCCACCACGACGACGCACCTCATGGCTGTCATTGCCGCCAACCCATCTGTGGCCCGCCCCCCAAGAGAGCTGCAGGCCTCCCATCAACGTAGCACAACACCGAGGAGCAGCCGTGCAAACAACCTGCGGACATATCTACATGGAAAAAATGTTAGAAAAGAATATGGGCATATGTTTGTGGCAAAGGAGTATGCCCATTTGTATGCTCTTTAAAAGGGCAGTAGAAAACCCTCTCTTAGCGGGAATAGAGACCTAGAAACCTACAAATTGTCATGTTCTAATACGCTGTTATACCCTCATTAAGTAGGGTATTCCATAAGGAACAACAGTCACTCCCCCAGCCTCCCCCCTTTGGCTTTGGGAAGTGTAGTGTGTAAAATCATGTGCGCAAATAAGCAGCAGATTGTAAAGTCTATTGCCTACTTGTACTTGTGTACTCGTGTGCGTGTGTGCGTGTGCATCCTTGCCTCAGTTGGCTGCTTGTGTAAGTGTTGCCATCGAGCTGGCGAGTGTAGTTTTCCATCTTTTCTATGCAATATATATTTCATATATTACTCGAAAACGAGGCGATGCGAGCAATTTGCACTTTAGAGATGGTCCTGGGAATTTTAGAGGCAAGAAACCAAAGGGATTATAAGTAGAGATGCTGAAAAGAAGCGACTGGAAGAATCTACAGACGAATAATATATTTGCAGTCGAATTTCTCCATTACTTACTTCCATACAACGAAGTTTTCTATATAAGGAATTTATTTCCATAGCACTGCTATTACGAATTTTCCTTATAACGAATTCCCCTTGCGATTGACTGTATTTGAGTGCATTTTCTACCTAAACTTTTACGTTCTACATGATCTAGAAAATGTTCTACATATTTTCTACATAATATGGTCCAATTTCTACATATGTATGTACCTATTGCAAGTGGTAAAAAGTTCCAAATAAGTCGGATTTATAAAATTATTTTTCTACTATAAATAAGCTTTTAATTAGCCCTGTAATTGGTGCTTAAGTCCATTTCGGGCAACTATGCGTTTTGCTAAAAAAACCAAGAAGTCTGCAGGGTACAAAAATATAAGTAGTTTTCGCGGCGATCAATTTAAACTCTGATTTCAGCGAAAGTTGAGGCAATATATTGATGCTAATTTTGTTTGTCACTCATCGACATTCTGTAGTCTATTTTCTACATATATTCTACATGTTGTGGTGGAATTTCTACATGCCTACGTAATTCTTTACAGTGTACAGTCCTCTTTATACATGATCC